ATGAAGATGAAGACCAATTACACCAAAGAAGCAGAAGGCATAGAGTAAGTATTATACAGCGTCACAGACAACAAATGGGTTGCAAACCATCATGGAAGACTGGGCTAGTTGTCCAGAGAGACTTGTTAGCAAATATACAAAGTGAGCTAGACCTTAAATGAAGCTAGGCTTTCCACAGGCTGAGAAGGCAAAGCAGCATTGTAGGCTGGAGAAAGGACATATGAAAAGAAACAGAATGGGCTCAGCAGTTAGTGGGAGTTGTCTGTAAGAAGGTAGAGAAAGATAGAGAGGAAAGTAGGTGATGACTAATTTAGAGATGTGTGAATGTCAGAATAAGCTATGAGGCCTTTAACACACTGGAAATGGGTAACCACTAAAAGTCTGGGGACCCAGGAAAGTGGAAATACAACATATAAAATATGAATTTCAAGATAACAAACAAAAATTTTTCTAGGGATTGGGATCATACAACAACCATCAGAAATAATCAAACTGATAAAACCAAGGACACAGAGAAGAATTATTAAAAACCTCAAGGCTTAAAGGTGGTACTAATTTAGAAAACTGCATTTGAAGCCCCAAGACTGGATGGTGTCTTTAGTATATGTGCTGCCGAAGCGAGCACTGGATGGTGTCTTCAAAAAAAAAAAAAGAATTTAGAGCATGCTGCTAAGGAGCTTTGGATGTTGTCCTCCAAGAAGATAATCTGATAAACCAGATCCATCGTGTGCCAAACCAGAAGACAAGGTGTGAAGAGCTGGGAGCAAGCCAACCAAGAGAAACTCTAACGTTTAAAGTTCAAATGGAAACACATCAGTAGTATTCACCGCCGTATTGGCAAGAAGTGCTTAAGAAGTCACGCAAGTAGATTGCCCATCTGTTTCAACCTTGTAAAAATTGTCTGTTAAAGATTTCTCTGTATTTGACAAGGAAACTTAGTACTTGCTGAAATTGGGAGAGGTGAGACTTTTAAGAACAGAGAAAGAAACTTCTTTTGACAGATCAAGCTGTGATACTCATCCAGATTACAATTCGGACCAAAATAATAAAAGTCACTTCATAGTGAGTAAGAGCCTTTTGGATTTGGCTTATTTTGTATACGTGATGCTAGATGTACATCATATTTTGCCCATTCTCCCTGGAAATACATTAATATAGTTTTAAAAGTATGGAAAATATCAAGTTTCCAAGGACATTAATAATCCAGAGAGAATATCCCTCCAATGTTCAAACTTGTACAAAGACTACTAGTATCAGTCCTAATTATGCTTGCCTTTCTTTGGACCATTTAAAATGCTTTAGAGGATGCCTGGGGGGCTCAGTGGGTTAAGCATCTCCCTTCAGCTCAGGGGTCCTGAGATCCTGGGGTCCTGAGATCCAGTCCCCCGTTGGGCTCGCAGCTTGGTCAGAAAGCCTGCTTCTCCATCTCTGCCTTTCCTCACTGCTTGTGCTTGCTCTCCTCATGCTCTGTCTCTGTCTCTGTCTCTCTCTCTCTCATTCTCTAATAAATAAATAAATAAATAATTCTTAAAATGCTTTAGGATAAGGCTACATCATACTCATAATAGCATATGTCATTTCTTAAATATATTTTAAGCTAAAATATTTCCTAATTTCAGTTCTAATTTCTTCTTTGACCCATAAGTTACTTACAAGTGTATTCATTTCCAAACAGTTAAGCGTTTCTTAGTAAACTCTGTTATTAAATTTGAGTTTAATTCTATTGTGGTCAGAAAACACTCCGAACGATTTTGATCTTGAAATCTGCAGGAACTTTCTTTAGGACCTGGCAAATATTTTCTTTTGGTGTATCTTCCATGTGTACTTTAATGAAGGCAAATTCTATTTTTGCTGGGCAAAGCATTCTATATATGTCAATTAGGTCAAGTTTATTCATCACTTGATTAAGATTTTCTGTATCCTTACTAATTTTTTTTAAAGATTTTATTTATTTATTTATTTATTTGACACAGAGAGAGAGATCACAAGTAGGCAGAGAGGCAGGCAGAGGGAAAGGGGGAAGCAGGCTCCCCGCTGAGCAGAGAGTCCGATGTGGGGCTCAATCCCAGGACCCTGAGATCATGACCTGAGCCGAAGGCAGAGGCTTTAACCCACTGAGCCACCCAGGTGCCCCAATCCTTACTAATTTTTTGTCTGTCTGTTCTATAAACTCTTAAAGAGTGTGTGCTAATGTTTCCCACCAAGAATGCAGAGCTGTCTCATTTTAGATCTGTCAGTTTTGGCTTTATATATTTTGAAGTTACATTATTTGTAACATACAAGTTTAAGATTGTGATCCTTACCCCATTATCATTATGAAATTATCTCTACCTCCAAGTAGCATTTACCATACACTTGGTCTGATACTGGCGTTGCTGTACCAGCTTTGCTTTGGTTGGTGTTTATCTCTGTATATCTTCTGCCATCCTTCTGTTTGAAGTATGTCACTTGTTAAGCAGTATGTAATGGGGTTTTGGTGATTTATTCAGGCAGACAAACTCAGACTTTTACCAGGGAGCATGCAGTCCATTTACATTAAATGTCATTACTTATGTAGAAGGATTTATAGTTACCATTTTATTATTTTCAATTTGACTCATCTATTTTATGTCCTTTTATTCCTTTTTTAATTAATCCAATATTATTTTATTCCATTTTCCCTCTTTTAACTTGTTAGATATACACATTTAACCCTATTAAGAGTTGCCTTTCGAGATTACAATATGCATCCTTAACTGATTACAAGTCAATGCAAATTACTACTTTCCCTATCCAACTCCCCAGTAATCCTAGGATTTTTAAAACACTTTAACTTCTTTAACCCCTTCTTACCTACTATCATACATTTTAGTTTTATATACATTTTAAAATCTAAAAACATTATTGTTTTGCATGGTCAACATTCATTTTTATTTTATGTACATATTACCCTTCATGATGACCTCATTCCTTCCTGCATTTCCATCTGGGATTATTTTCCTTCTGCCTAAAATATCTCTTCTTAGTATTTGTTGTAATGCAGGTCCACGACTGACAAAATTCCCTCAGTTTTTCTCTGAAAACATCTTTATTTCACCTTCATTTTGAAGGAAATTTTTGCTGGGAATGGAATTCTAGATTGGCAGGGTTTGGGGGTTGTTTGCTTGGTGTCGTGATTTAGATGGCCACTTCACTGTCTGGTTTGTCTCGCTGCTGCTGTTGTGTGTTTTAACCGTTTCTTCTAAGACGTCATAGTCATATTATTTGTTGCTCCTTTAAAAGTAATGTGTCTTTTTCCACTCTCTCTCGTTGCTTCGAAGACTTTCTCTTTGTCGGTTTCTATGCTGTTATATTGATGTCAAAGACAGTTTTCCTTCATAGCAATTCTACTTGGGGTTTTCTAAGTTCCCTGAGTCTGTAAGCAGCTCTCATCACTTTGTAAAATTCTTACTGTTATCTCTTCAAATATTGTTTCTGCCCCATTCACTCTCTTCTTCTATATATTCCAATTCTACATATGTTAGTCCTTTTAGCCACATTCCACATGTCTTCAATATCCTCATCTATTTCTTTCTTATAGGCTTTCTACTCCATGTTTTAGTGTGAAATTATCTACTGACCTGCCTACTTATTAATCCTGTCTTATGTTGTAACCAATCTGCTATTGATTCTAGTCCTTAGGTTCCAGTTTTAAATATTATACTTGATGTCCCAGATTATCCATTTGGTTCTTCATAATAAATTGGACTGAAATTCACTATTCCTCCATCTGTTTTGACTATCTTTTCCTCTATTGTCTTAAACACATTATTTATGGTTTTGGGTTTTTAATTATTTACAGTTATTTTTAAGTACTTGTCGGCTAACTTCAATATCTGAGCTACCTGTGGGTCTACTTCTATTACCTTATGAGATATGTGATCTTGTATCTTAGATGTCCACTATTTTTTTTCTGTATGCTAAACATTATAGGGTCTCTCTATATAACTTCCACCTGCAAAAAAAGGACAGAGGCCTCTCTTGTACTCTGCTATATGGGTGGAGAGAGAGCTCACCACCCAATATGGGATGGGACTGGGCTGGGTCTCCATTTTTGTAAGACTCAGTCTGCCTCTGGTTTGCCCTTGTTCCTAAGGCATGGCTCTCCACGGAGTGCACTGAAAAGCCTTTGTCTGCACTAGACTCAGTTCTGCCTGCAGGAAGTTTTCAGAATAGCTCGTTGGCCTCCTTGACATAATTCTTGAGAGGGAGACTAATCACACATTTGGGGCTCCTCCAGTTTCATTTGTTTCTTACTCTAGCCCCAGAAACCTCTTCTGGCTTTTCTGTCTCCCAAAAGCAGCCTTCTATCTGGGGCCAAATCTGGACACTTGTCTGCTCACTACACCTGGAACTTAGTAGCTGCTCCAGGTGATAAGTAGCTACAGATTTTTAGTGTCAATCGACCGCTCCCTAGGGTTTTCATCTCTTGCCTGTTCTGTTTTCAGATTCCACCACAGGTCCAGATGTCAAGACAGCAGCGTGAGGCTGTGAGGCTTCCAGAAGTTCGTGGCCTATGTCTTCAGCTCCATTCCAAATGTCTTACTGGGGAAACCAGCTGTGTGCCTGAGAGTCCCCTTTCCCACCACATCTCCAATTTGTCACTCTGGCCATGTGTGACCAGAAAACGTTAGTGGTTTCTCTTTCACTCAGTGGAGGCCCTCTGCCTCAGCTTATGTCTCCAGAATCAGCAAGCTTCTGCAGAAAATCAAATGGCTGCTGATCCTCAGTGCCCGTCCGAATGATAATCCCTCCTCTGGAGGTTTAACCCAACTATTCCTCAGTGCTTCCAGAGCCCTTGAAAATATGATTTTTACGGACGTTGTCAGTCTCTAGTCCACTACAGATTATACCTTGTGCTGCTAATTGGGGTCAATGAATTTCTACATATTAGTAAGATACGCAGTAGTCTTGATATTTTCCAAAGTACAGTCTACATATGCTTTTACAATAAAAGCATCAGTAAAACAGTAACTTCTTACCTCTTCATAAAACTTCACCTGAGGTACAGCTTCATTAATTTCATTCAAACAAAAATCTTTAAATAGCAAGAAACCTAAAGGAAAAGAATAAGAAATTTCAGGGTGGGCAATAAATTGTAATTTTACCACACAGGGTGTTTTCAAAGTAGTATGTTTATATTTCAACCTCTTCCTCCCCTACCTTCAAAAATAATAATAAAGATTTGGGGGCACCTGGGTGGCTCAGTTAATTAAGTGGCTAACTTGATTTTGACTCAGGTCATGATCTCAGGATTGTGAGCTTGAGCCTCACCTTGGGCATAAAGTCCACTTAAGATTCTCTCTCTCCCTCTCCCTCTGCCCCTCCCCTCTCCTCCCTCCCTCTCAAAAATTAACAGTAATAATAAAGATTTCAAAGGGGTAATTATACCCTAGAAGAAAATACTCCACATAAAGTAAGAGTACCCTATACCTGGTTCTTTGCTTTGGGTTCCTTCCCTGTTGGCAATGCCCGCCCCCCACTTTTCAAAACTACATGATAAGCAGTGCCAATAGTCACCACTGCTAAGAGCCACTGGTCACTAAAGCAAATGGAAGAATAACCAAAGAAATAAGAGGTACGGGTAGTGTGGAAGTGTTGGTAAGAGTCATCATAAAGTTAGTAAATACTATGCACACAGAAACAGGACAAAATCCCTCCCCACATAAAAAAAGACAGAAGGACTTTCATGACCTTCCCAGGCTTTCCTATTACCACTTACTACCTCGAAATGCCAAACACCCTGTGCCAGAGCAGACTACCCACTCCCAGATTATTCTCTGCTCCCCTTTCACCCACCAGCACCTTACACCCGGAACACAGACTCCACTGCACAGTGCCTGGTACATGGAGGAGTCCGAGAGATGTTTGCAGAACAAATGCATGTTGACATAACCCTTCCAACATGGCTCTGTCAAGGTACTTAGCACACTACAACTAGTTACCTGATTTATAAGTCCCTCCTGCATTTGCAAACCAACTGCCTAGCCTAATGCCCAGCACACAGTCAAGCCTAAATGAACACGTGAAGTTCACTGTGACAAGGTGATACCAAACTGAGGGTAGAGATTATAGAAGGTCAAAAACAAATTTACAAGCCAAAAAAAAAAAAAAAAGTCAAAACAGGGTCAACTCTTGGTTTTAGCTCAGGTCGTGATCTCGGAGTCATGAGATCAACCCCAGCACAAGCACGTAGTCTACTTCGGATCCTCTCTTCCTCTCCCTCTACCCTCCCTGCTCGTGCTCTCTCTATCTCAAATAAATAGATGAATCTTAAAAAAAAAAAAAAAAGTCAAAAGAATGAAAGGACTGCTGGAAGAAACAGAAGTCAAAGGAGGGAACTGGAGGAAAGACTCAACAACAAGTCTAAGAAGTAAGGAGAAGGTAGACTGGAATTCTCTAGGTGGGACAGAGAGAGCCAAAAGAAGGAGCTTTGATAGGTTTTAACTGAAGTTAGCCAAAGAAAACATGTAACTTGAACCTGTCCATTACTACTCCATTAATTCCCCTCCATAGTTCCAGGAGGATGACCTCTGAAAATAGTAAATGTTCACTGAGAGGAGCTAGAAGAAAGTATTGGGACTCCTTAGTTACATCGGCAAGGCCAGAATAACCAAGGTCGGGTGCGGACTGGCGGCAGGGACATGGGCACACTCATTTCATCTCCAGGAACTGAGGACAGACTGACATATGAAGCAAGAAGAAAATTCAAGAAGCAGACAAATAGAGTTGATGCAAATTTCTACCTATTTGCACATCTGTATTTTCATTTTAAATAAGAGACATGGTTACCTTTTCATTCTCATGCATGTCAAAGTATGTAATTTCAAATTTCCCTTGTCATTTCTTCTTTGACTCATGAGTCACTCAGAAATATGCAGTTTGAGTTCCAGATACTTTAGGGTTTTCAGGTATTTTTCTGATATTGATTTCTGGTTATTTCTGCTGTGGTCAGAGAACATATTCAGCATGATTTCAATGCTTTCAAAATTTATCGAAATGGCTTTAGCCCCAAATTTGGTCCATCTAGGTAAATGCTTCATGGGAAGTTGGGGGAAAAAGTATATATAGTACAATGTTCATTAAACAAAATACAAAGGCAATGAAGCTGAGTTGGTTGGTGTGGCTGTTCAAGTCCCTCATCCAAATCCTTAATGATTGTCTCCTTAATTCTATCCATTACCAACAGAGGACTGTTGAAATCCCCATCAGTAACTGTGGATTTGCTCATCTTTTTTCGGTTGTGTCACTTTTTGGTTGATGTATTTCTTTTTCTATTTTGAGGAGAGATAACTAAAATGAGAATTTGAACTAAGGTTATTTTGACCATACAAGAGATGTTCTTGTGACATCTAAACGACAAATGAACTAATATGCCACATATGGACCTCTGCCTTTGGGCTGAACTTGGAATCAAGGGGAAATGGCTCAACATGCCCACCGTGCTCTCTGGAATCAAGGCCTTAGGTTCTCCTACAGCCTTTCAGACTGTTCTCTCCCAAACTCCCTGCGCTGAGGCCACATGTCTGCATTCCAGTTCCTCTCTAAGACCAAACCTGATCTGCTCTCAAGGTTATCAACGTGCTTTTCCCACTTCCTAAAACATGCTCCCTAACCTTGTGGACCTGCAGAGCTCAGCTCAAATGCCCCCCTACCCTTGGGCCTTTTCATGTTCCTTCTCTCTCTGAGACACACATGGACACGCTTTTATAGCACTTGTGACTAGCAAAAATTATCACACATATATGTTTGCTTGTTTCATATTATACTGACCTCCCCCACAACAATGTAAACTGCATATGGGAAGGCCACAAAGGTCTTATTCTCTACTACATATGCAGGACCGAGAACATGATAGAGAGGGACTGCAGAAGGAGAAACACGGGAAGGAGGAAGGAAGGGGACATGGGAGACGAGGGACAAGTAAGGAAAAGGGAAGAGGGAGGAAGGTTGGAGGGGAGGAGGGGGAAAGAAGGAGGGAGAGAGAGTTGAATGAATGCACATCTAACTGCAAATACTTCTACCTGCTTCTTTAGTGCAATTTCCATTGTCAATGCGTCGGGTGAGCAGAAGAATGACTAACATACTGCAGGAAAAAAAAAACCATTATTTTCCTCATGTCTGCACACAAACTGAAGCCTTACTTTCTATCTCAGCAGCTACTAAAATGGAACAGCAAGAAGAAAGGTGTTTTGCCTTTTGGATAAACTCTAGATCACTGTGTTTCAGGCTGAGAGCAATTTCCCTTCGATAGGCTTAAATTACACACAAAAACCCCCAAATGAAGCATCTCTCAGATTAGAACAAAAGCTAAAGGGCAAAAATAAGGAAATAATTTGAATAACAGGTTCACTTCATCAATGTTTTTTCTCCAGATTTTAAAGAATAAAGAATAGCAACCCAACACCTGCCTTTACTAGATAACTGTGGAACGTGTTTACCTTTGTTTCTACATTTGGGCCACTGCAAACTGCCTGCATACTGATTAACTTTTGAGTATATATAACATCCAGAAAAAGTAAACTATCCCAATTTGTCACCACAATACCTTGCAAAAAATTAGGAGAAAGAATTGTACTGTAAAATACCAAGGAGAATTTTTTTATAGTATGCAAATATAACTTTTATACTGCATTTTATTAAATATCAATTAAGAATGTTTTAAAGTATCAAATATGAATTTCTATGAGAAATTCTGAACTGTTACTTTCTTAAAAATTTTCAAAGGAGAAAGAAAAGTTATGAAAAAAATCTTGGGTGGCTGGGTGGCTCAGTTGGTTAAGCTCAGTGGCTCTATATATATAGAATATAATATATATAGTTCTATATTCTAACTATGGAATATAGATCCAGGGTTAAATGCCTCCAGCTCAGGTCATGATCCCAGGGTCTTGGGATCAGGCCCCACATCGGGCTCCCTACTCAGCGTGGAATTTGCTTCTCTCTCTACCCTTCCCCCTGCTCATGGTCTCTCCCTATCTCACTCTCTCTCTCCCTCAAATAAATAAATTTTTAAAATCTTAAAAAAAAAAAGTCTTGCAAGAAATGGTATTTGTCCTAGGTATTGCCAAGGAGACTCAAACACTGGGAAGGATAGTTTGTGTAATTGCTAGAAATTTCTACCAATACTGACTGATTTGACTAGGCATTTCCCAAGTCTTTACTAAGAGCCACTGTGCTATACATTAGGGATATAGTGGCGAAGACAGAGTCTTTTTCCCATACGGGACTTACGGATTTGGTGTAAGGGACAGACAAAAAAATAGTACACAAATAAAATAAGTGCAATTTTTGTAAATGATATAAAGAAATTTCAAAAGTACTGAGATTGCTGATAAAAAGAAGGAAATGCATGTCATACAAAATGACAATAAGACCTCCCTGGGCTGTGAGATGAACAAATTACAAAGCATTTCAGCTTAGAAAAGGCTAAAATGTTTAATCTTACTCCTATTTAATAATATATTAGAGGTCTTGGCCAGTACATTAAGGCAAGAAAAGGAAATAAAAGCTACTCAAAATGGAAAGGAAGAATTAAACCTGATTCCATTCGGGGCACCTGGGTGGCTCAGTTGGTTAAGTTTCCAACTTGTGAGTTTTGGCTGAGGTCATGATCTCATTGGTCATGAGACCAAGCCATATGTTAGGCTCCACACTCAGCAGGAAGTCTGCCCGAGATTCTCTCCCTCTGCCCCTCCTGTCCCTCTCTAATAAATAAATACATCTTTTAAAAAAGTTTTTTAAACAAAACTGATTCTATTCATAAATAAGCTGCTTATCCACATAGCAAATCCTATCTACAATGTTACTAGGAAATGTAAGTGAAGTTAGCAAGGCCCCAAGCTACAAGGCCACTAGATAAGAATTAATGACATTCTGATATACTCAGATCACAGAATTTTAAAACAAGTCCATGTGCAATAACATCAAAGAACAAGCAATACTTAGGAATAAATAAATAAGAGATATGTGACTATTACGTTGAAAACTATAGAATATTACTGGTAGAAATTAAGGCAGACCTAAATAAATAAAAAGACTTACTCAGTTTAATGA